CAACCCTCTTTCTGCCTCACCCCAACTTGGGCTTTTCTGAACTGTGTGCAACTCTAGAAATGTTCTATGAGTCTAATATGGTAGCCGCAAGCTGTATGCGTCTTTTGAACATGTGAAATAGGGATAGTATGACTTCGTTTTAATTAACTTTAATTTAAATAGTCAGGTGGAGCCAGTAGTTACTGTACTAGACTGTGCAACTCTACAACCTCTTTCCTTCATTCTCATGGCTTCTGTTATCAACACTATATCCAGAGACTGCCAAATTCAAGCTGAATGAAAGTAAACTGGATGAGTTCCACAAGCCTCTCGAACTCCAAAATACCAAAAAATAAAAAAGAAAGAAAGAAAGAAAAAACACCATCAACATCAAAACTCCTCCCTGGCAGCTATGGTAACACGTTCTAGTCGAAGTCACTACTTGACAAGCTGAGACCATGTGGAGGCCAAGTTCAGTTAACAGCCCTCCCAGAAGAGTTAGGCATAGAGGTTCTACCTACTCATGTGGCAGAGATAAGAAGCTCACAACACAGTAAGACTCTGTCTAAAAAACACCACATATACACACCACCACCACCACCACCACCACCACCACCACCATAAGTCACCCTCCCCCGAAATAAATCCTTTATCTAATTCCAAACACCTTTCCCCTCTTAACATTCTTAGTTCTGAAAATCGAATGCATCATCCAAGTGATCTGAGTTACCTGGTCACTTTAACTCTCTTTCATATTTAAGCAGATATCTTTCCCTTTTGATTCTACCTAACTTCTCTGCCTCCAGGCTGGTGTACACAATAAGCACATTCTTCCACCAGCTATCACTCATTCAAATGGCTCACCGTGTACCCTTGTCATTTTCAAATATATCATGTGAATGATTCCCTGCTGCCCACAAAAGGCATAAATTCCCCAGGATAGCACAGTGTTGAGGACTCTACAGTCTGGCCCCAAGCTATCTTCCCAGCTTTGCCTTCTACTTCTACCTCTTAACCCCCCCTACTCTGTAGCCAAAAAGGATTCCTTACTGTCCTATCACAATGCGTGTGCCCACATTACTGCTCATGCGCTTCTATCTTCCCTAAATATCTTTTGACTCCTGTTCAAATCCTAACCAAACTTCCAGGGTTACTCAAATTCCACCTCTTCTTTGGCATTCCTAAGAAACGTTCTCTACCAAGAAGTAATCTTGTCTTTTCTGAATGCTCACTGTACTTTTCAACTATACTACATTCATGTCAATAATCAACTTCCCCTTAGTTAAAATTTGATTATATGCATTCATTATATAACAAGCTCCCTAAAGATGCATAGCATGAATTTGATATCTTCCCAGCCATGAATAGTAAAAATTACCAGCATTAAGTGAAGTATGTAATAAATTATATCTACTGATTATGGTAATTTCATTTAAGTTACAAATCAGTACTTATGCATAAAGAATTTTCAGTATCTCAAAAGTGGCCTAGGTATTAAATTATCCACATGATTTTATCAACAGTAGAAAAGTGTTTTGGGCATACACAATTCCCCAAATTGCACTGAGAGATTTTAAATAATAAAAAAGGGTCTTCCTATTCTAGTCATGTACCATCAGTACGGAGAATAATAGTGGGGCTGATCCATTAGTCTCCTATGGGAATACAGGAGATTTTCTATTTTAAATAAAGCACTTTTTATCAAATAGGAAACTGGTATTTCAGGAGGCTCTTGGGTTATAATAGATTCAGATTCAATATGATTCATGTAAGGGAAGTAACAAATTATTCAATGGTAATAGTTACAATTTATTAAGCACTTACAAGTATGTCATTCACTATCAAAAGCATTTTGTATGTACTATCTCATTTAGTATTTACAAAACTCTCTGGGGTTGGTAGGTGGTGTGGTAGTTAAGGGCACTGGACTCCTACATGGCCGACCACAGTTCGAGTCCCAGACCTAGCAACTTGCTTTCTCAATTTTTCTCTCTCTGTCCTTCTCTAGTCAAATAAAAATAAAGTAAATAAATAAATCTAAATAAAATAATTCTTTTTTTCTTTGGGGGGGGAGAGGTTTTTGCTATAGGGTGCATGTACTCGTCAGAAAGACAGAGAGAGACAGAGAGACAGAAAGCAAGAAAGCACCCCCTCGCAGGGGATGGCCACGCCACAATCCCTTCTCCTCCATTCTCCTCTCGGGATCTTGGGCACTCACGCACATGCACCCAGAGTGAGTTTAAGCCACTGGGTCTGGGACTCAAACCGTGGTCGACTACATGGGAGTCCAGCAACATAGCCATTATGCCAACTGCTGGTCCCTAAAATAATTCTTTAAAAAAAATTTATTAAACTCTCTGAGATAGGTACTATTATCATTCCCATTTTATATATATATTTTAGAAGTTAAACATAAAAGGCAGATCACGTATCTTTTTTTAAAAAAATGTCTATTAGTATAACCAAACAAATGGATAGAAGACCCACTTATAATAAAGCAGTTATATACAGTCCTAATCTAGGAGTTCGAAGATTAAGACTTACTTCAGTTAATTAGCTATAACTTCATTGGGCCTCAGTGTTCACAATGGTCTAGTATTCTTCTCACTAAACTAGTTATAAGAGCCAAATACAATAATGCATGTAAAAATGAAAGTGAAAGATCAAAGGACTTTAGGACAAGGGATCCTAAATTCAGTCTCTGCTCTGATCTTTACTAGACATGGGACTTCAAATACATCTCACAGTTTCTATGAGTACAATCGTTCTTTTGACAAGTATGGAGTACCTATTTATGTGCCAGATAATGTGCTGTATGTTAGGGAAGCAAAAGTAAACCTGACATATCTGGCCTCCTGTACTCACAGAACTCACAGACTGGAGAGGAATAAAGAATTAAAGGCAATTATAGGTCTTGTTCGGTGGCATGGTGGTTAAGGCAGTTGGATTCCACATGGCTGAGCACATGGTTCAAGTCCTGAACCCACTGGCTTGAGAAACATGCCAGGCATGTGTGTATGTGCATGCCCAAAATCCTGACAAGAATAAAAAATGGAGGAGAAGGGATTGTGACATGACCATACCCCATAAGGGGTACCTTCTCCTATCCCTCTCGATCTGTTGAGTGCATGTGCCCTCTAGCAAAAAAAAAAAAAAGAGAGAGAGAGAGAAAGAATTCTAATAGAGTAGGTTAAGTGCTTGGATAATAGAATATATAAAAGAAGCATCTAGTCTAGATTTAGGTTCAAAGAATATTTCCCAAAAGGAAATGACTTCTATACTGAGATTAAAATGGATAAATGGAAGTAAGGCAAAGACGTAAATATTTCCAGGCAGAAAAAGCAAGGTTCAAAGACCTGGGCATAGAAGGCAAGTGTAAACAGAGTCTACTATCACAGTGGTGACACAATGAAGCTGAAGCCATTTGGGAAGGTCCTGGCTCAGGTTCCAAGGTCTCATCATACATACTAGGCATGAGCACAAGACCATGATCCTGCTGGAGTGATTCCGTCCTGCGCGGCTGTTTTCGGTAGCCCTAGTCGTTTACCTCCGTCCGCCTTCTCGCCCACCCAAGTGCGTGCCACCACCCCATGGAAGATTTGATGGACATGGACATGAGCCCCCTGAGGCCGCAGAACTATCTTTTCAGTTGTGAACTAAAGGCCAACAAAGATTATCACTTTAAAGTGGATAATGATGAAAATGAACACCAGTTATCTTTAAGAACGGTTAGTTTAGGGGCTGGTGCAAAGGATGAACTGCACATTGTTGAAGCAGAGGCAATGAATTATGAAGGCAGTCCAATTAAAGTAACACTGGCAACACTGAAAATGTCTGTACAGCCAACGGTTTTCCTTGGGGGCTTTGAAATACCACCACCTGTGGTCTTAAGGTTGAAGTGTGGTTCAGGGCCTGTGCATATTAGTGGACAGCACTTAGTAGCTGTGGAGGAAGATGCAGGGTCAGAAGAAGAAGAAGAAGAGGATGTGAAACTCTTAAGTATATATGGAAAGCGATCTGCTCCTGGAGGTGGAAGCAAGGTTCCACAGAAAAAAGTAAAACTTGCTGCTGACAAAGATGATGACAATGAAGATGATGATGATGAAGATGATGATGATGAAGATGATGATGATGATTTTGAGGATGAGGAAACAGAAGAAAAAGCTCCAGTGAAGAAATCTATACGAGATACTCCTGGCAAAAATGCTCAAAAAATCAAACCAGAACAGAAAAGACTCAAAACCATCAACACCAAGATCAAAAGGTCAAGAATCATTCAAAAAACAGGAAAAAACAACTAAAACACCAAAAGGACCTAGCTCTATAGAATACATTAAAGCAAAAATGCAAGCAAGTATAGAAAAAGCGCATTGAACAGTCCTGGGCACTACTGCTAAATTAAGCCCAAAGATGGGGAGAGAGGAAAAGGAGAAAAATATAATCCATACTGAGTATCATCAACAATCCAGACTGAAGTCTTCTATTTTAATCTCAATCCCCTTTCCTGATTTTACTCTCCGCACCCCCTTCCAGGCTGGAAGCAATCTCTCTCCCAAAGCACGCACTTTTGACTGCTGTGATTCAGTGAACCTCACACTTTGCTTTCTATTACTTGTACATCTGCCTCATTTTTTGACCATGTTTTAATCACCTTTGTATTGCCATAGCTGATCAATAAATATTTGAATGAATTAAAAAAAAAAAAAACATGATCCTGGCTGGCTGAGGCTGAAAATGGATCGCTATATGAAGACCTGTTGGGAGTACTTGTCTTTTTCTTTCTGCCTTTCTGTATAATTTCTTAAATCTGCAGGTAAACAATTAATCTAAGTAAAAACTACAATTTTTAAAAGAGTATATATTAGAGTGCTCAGTAAATTGAGGAAAACCCTAGCTACTTTAATTAACATTAATACTAATAATCAACTGCATAATTTGTATTACCATGGAAGCAAAAGTTGCAAGATGTATAATGGAAACAGAATTACTAAGGATAGCTAATGACAATCATAATTCAGTACCTTTCACATCTGGTCGATATTGAAGTCCATCATCTTTCTTTCCCAACAAACTAGTGTCATCTGTGTCTGTAAGAGAAAACAGTTTTCAGTTAAGATACATAGACATTTACATCACACTACAAAACTCCCAATTATTCCAAATGCTCTTAACTCAGTTGCCCTATTCTGCCCTCATTTTCCACCATTCTCCTGACCCGCTGTGCCATTTCACTCTCAGAACTGAAGGCATCGCAGGGATATATCCCCTTTGTATGATGATTGTCTAATTTCATTTAGAGTTCAGCTCCAGTTCACGTCCTTTTTTAAAGTTTATTTCTTGAGAAAGAGAAAGAGAGGGAGGGATTGAGAGAAGGGCACACTTAACTGGGTCCCATCACACGGAGATCCTCCCCTGAGTCTCTTGGCTAGAACAGCCAGGATCACGGGTGACTGCAGGCATGCCTCATGTGTTTGGGTCAGCTCAGGATCTGAACCTGAGAGGATGCCTGGAGAGGTACCCTACTGCCTGCACCACAAAGGCGGGGGTCCAAATGTCACCTCCTTTACAAGTCTTTCCTGTGGTAACTAAAATACTACATACCCTAAGGAGAAAGGGTTAACCCTTTTTCCAAGGGGCAATATTTCTAGATATACTTTCTTCTACCACTGTTTCCCTGGAAACATCAGATTAAGATAAACGTACTCTCAACCGCGTGGTCAAACATTTTTGTAAAAAAACAAATAACACTCCGATTTGTGAATTCTATCTGGGAAGCAAATAAATGATTTATTAATAACCTCTTGGGGGACCAACAGATGGCAAAATGGTTATGTTGCCAAACTCCCACATAGTCAACTGCAGTTCGAGTCCCAAACCTGGTGACTTAAAACTCACACCAGGCAGGGCCTGCAGGTGACATGATGGGTAAGGAGGCTGGGCTCCCACATGGCTGACTGCGGTTCAAGTCCCGGACCTGGTAGCTTGCTTTCTCATTTTCCATCTCTTTCTCTGGTCAATTTCAATAAAATAGAAAAATAAATAAATAATTACAATGAATAAAATTAAATAATTTTTTTTTGGAGAGGTTTTTGCTATCGGGTGTGTACACTTGCCAGAGAGACAAAGAGAGACAGAGTGACACAAAGCAAGAAATCACAACCTGGGGTGATGGCCATGCCACAATCCCTTCTCCTTCATTCTCCTCTCAGGATTTTTGGCACACACGGTGTGTGGTTTAAGCCACCAGGTCTGGGACTTGAACCACAATCGACTACAAGGAAGTCCAACAACATAACCATTACACCATCTGCTGGTTCCAAATTAAATAATTCTTTTAAAAACAAAACAAAACAGGGACCAGCAGTTGGTGTAATGGCCATGTCACTGGACTCCCATGTAGTCAACTGCAGCTGGAGTCCTGGACCTGGTGGCTTCAACTCATGTTGGGTGCGTGTACATGCAATCCCAAGACCCCGACAGGAGAATGGAAAAGAAGGGATTGCAGCGTAGCCATCCCCCCTGGGGGGTGATTTCTCACTTTCTATCTCTGTCTTTCTGGCAAGCACCCGTGCCCTATAGCAAAAACTTCTCCAAAGAACAAAAATGAAAACAAAAACCTCACACCAGGCACATGTGTGTGCCTTTCCAAAATTCTGAGAGAATGGAGGAGAAAGGACTGTGGCATGCCATCTCCCCACCTCCCGGGGGGTTGTGGTGGTGGTGGTGATTTCTCCCTTTCTGTTTCTGTCTCTCAGGCTAGCAAGCGCACATGCCCTATAGCAAAAACATCTCTCAAAAAAATTTTTTAAATAAATAAACTACTGGGAAGATCCCTATATATAGAGGAGGGAACAAAGGGAAAGTGTACAGTTAGGTACGGATGGAAAAATGATAGTGGGGACTGAGATAAAACCAAAGGACCAACCATTCCAAAGAAGTCTAAATCTACATGAGCTTCCATTGAAATCTCCCAGTTCACTAAGTGCTCTGAGCTTGAAATTCTGGGGCATACCACTCACTCATACAATTACTCGGAGAAGATACTCTTTCTCTAAGCTATTCTCATCTAAGGTCTAATGCCATCCCATAGATGATCTTTTTCAAGATCAAAGCTAAGTGGAACATCTACCTACAGTGTCTCTCTCTCTACCTATAAAGGATATGTCAGCAGATAGGTTCCTCTATCATGTCCATACACAGCCCTAAATGGAAATGCTCTGATGAGCTTCTTGGGTATTCTCTGGTAACTTAGACCAGAGGTACTGCAACCAGAACATCACAAATAATTTGTTACCAATATAAGGTACCAAGTTTTGGCTTAAAACCTTTTCCTTTTTGCTCAGATAAAAGCAGATCCCCTCAGTAAGTCCAAAAATGGGCATAAGTATGGCGGGGGAGGCAGGAAATAGACAGGAGCAGGGAAGGGGTAGAACTTAAAGCAGAAAGATGTACAATCTGAGTCCATGAGAATGTATCTGGCCCACGTGTTACTGAGGAAATGACCCATTCCCATTATCCCAGCCTATGAGGGTACTACTGAGAAAGAATGAACAGCTTCTGGCTTTAGTGACTGTGATATTTCTAGTAGAGATGGAAAACAAAAACTCATTCTTACATAACACCATGATTTCTGAATTAAAACAAGAGAACAAATAAAATATTAAACTTAAAAGTAAATAAACTTCTATAACATCACCCCAAAATCTATAAAACACTGTGAAAATAAACTATTACACTCTAGTAAAAAAAGGTTTAGAAATAAATGGCAACACTTAACAGATGATTTTCCTGTAAGTAAAGTAAGTCAAAGAACTCTTAAACAATTATAATCATTAAAATTTGAGATTACCCCTAAGAACTACAAATATAATCAATGATCCCATGTTAGGATCAGCTTAGCAACTAAATAATGCAAATAATGAAGAAACATGGCTTATATCTTGAGAAAATGAAAATAAATTTTTAAATATCTAAATTAGAAACAGAAGGCATCCTGAAATATGTAGTAATACAAGAAGATAAGACTTCAAAGATCTCTCATTTTACAAATTGGGAACAGTATTGAAATGTACGAACAAAATTACAGACATATGTTAAAGACAGGTCTCTAGATGAAAAGAACGGATTTTACCTGTGCAATGACCAAGATGCCTTATATCAATTTGTTCTTGCTTTATACAAGATGCTTCTCGAACAAAACGGATTGTTATAGGAACTGCCATCAGAAGCACACACGGGATTAAAACTGTATCCACTGCAATCTATATTACATACACACCTGTTGGAAAAGACAAAAATTACCTGTATCTTACAGCAAAAGTATTTCACAATGCTGTAACAGCAAAAAAGAAAACTAAATAAAAGCAATTCTTTTCTTCTGCTTAGAAATCCATACTCAGATCGGCAGTTGGTGTAATGGCTATGTCGCTGGACTCCCACATAGTCGACCGCAGTTTGAGTCCCGGACCCAGTGGCTTAAACTCACGCTGGGCATGTGTGCATGAATGCCCAAGATCCCTAAAGGAGAATGGAGGAGAAGGGATTATGGCGTGGCTATCTCCCCTGAGGGGTGATCTCTCACTTTCCATCTGTCTGTCTCTCTCTGTCTTTCCGGCAAGCACACGCGCCCTATAGCAAAAACTTCTCCAAAAAAAGAAAAAAAAGAAGTCCATACTCGGTTTTTAAGTTAGTGATGAAAACTTAGGCAAAGTGAATACTCAGCTAAAAATTTCTTTCAGGTGGAAACTTAATCCAGTGATTTCTAGAGAATTTTCATATCTAGACAAAATATCAGGAGATATTAAATGTCAACAGCATTCCTTAAAAAGCAAGATGGCATAGTGGAAAGGACACAGAATCAAGAGTCAAAGATCATGAATCTGAATCTGAGCCCTACAAATGGTCAGGTTTGTAAGTATATTCTCCCCCTAAGTCTTAAGATTACTGATCTATACAAAAGAGATAATAATTTATCCCCCTTACCAAATAATTGAGAAGACTGAAAAACATAATAGATATGAAATAAGTAAAATGTGAACCACTGAAGTATTTCCTAGCTGTAGTTTACCTGTATAATTGAATGTGCATTAAACAATGAGCACCATACTACAGAGAAGGCTAAAAAAGTCCAAAGCCTGGTCACTCCAGGAAATAGAAAATCTATTTGGAAATTTTAAAAGTTAAAAAAAAAAAGACACTCGACTATTTTCAGCATTTGGTGGACTAGGAATATTTACTAATCCTCTCATTAAAAACAACATAAAACACTGGATAAAATATTTTAAAACATTCTCTTATATGTATTCATCACTTGGTTAAAAAAAAAAAACTAGGCATATTTAATACAAAAGTTAAATGAAGACAGAACAGAGAAAGGTCAGTTCTCTAGAGTTGATATTCATCTAAAAGACATTTGCCAAACTGGTAAATTCAATGATCAAGTTTTTGGCTTTGCAGACTACTGAGAATAGAGGACAAATACAGCAACCTACCTGAGGGTATAGAATCTGGAGACCCTAGAAAAACTAAAACATCAAAAAGCTATAACCCAGCACCGGCAGATGGCGTAATGGTTATGTTGCTGGACTCCCATGTAGTCAATCACAGTTTGAGTCCTGGACCCAGCAGCTTGAAACTCATGCCAGGCATGTGTAAGTACATGCCCCCAAAATCTCAGGAGGAGATTGGAGGAGAGAGGAGTGCAGCGTGGCCATCCCCCATGGGGGGGGGTTCACTTTCTGTTTCTCTGGCAAGCACAGGAGCCCTAAGTCAAAAAACCTCTCAGAAAACTACAATCCTCAGAATGACGATATGAGGGTGAAGTGAAAATGAGTTGCTATCTTCCAAAGGTACTGTTTTAAAAAATTTTTTAAAAAATTTAAAAAAGGCTGCCCTGAGCTATGGCATTGAAGAGAGGAAGAAAAACATCTCCCCTGAGAATTTAAAACCATGGATCAAGCCTAAGTGTAACTTAAAATACTATTCGGCTGTTCCCAGAAACCTCAAGTTCAAAATTTATTTAAAAGGGTCAAGTACTACAAGACAAATGACAGAAGCAAATGTGATCTTCTGTAGAGAAACCTAACTTTACCCTAGACTTCAATTATTTTCCAAATAAGGTTCTGAGGAAAATAAGCAGATTACACACACAAATCAACACACACAGATACTCACAATAAGCACAGAAATAAAAGACACAATAAGCAGAAAAAGCTGATTTTAAAAAGAATGAAACAGAACTTCCATAAATACATATAAAATCTTTTTCCAGAAATTAAAAAATGGGCAAGTTTAATAGCAGATGAGACAAACTAAAGGAGAATTAGTAAACTGGAGGACAGGTCAGAGGAAAATACCCAAACCACAGTAGAGTCAAAGAAGATATGAAAAAAAGAAACATGGAGAGCAGAGTAAAAGATCTCTTAAAAATCTGATTGGAGATCCAGAAGGAGTTAAAATACAGAGGACAAACAATATTCTCAGTAATTTCTCTTCAAACTTTCTAAAATCGCAGAGAAAAAAAAATCAGACTATCCAAGAAGTTCTATTGATTCCTAAAAGGATTATTAAAAGAGGTCTCACTGAAGTAGCACAGCACTAGCACATTCTTCTGCAATGCTGGAAGTTACATGGAAGATCAGAGTTCAGTTCCCAGGTTGACCTGTATATACCAGGCATGTGAATGTGTTCCAGTTATTCTGGAACTGGGAGGACTTACGGAGGACTACACTGTGAGACCATCAAGGGTTCTTGTCCTTTCTCAACTGTTCTCTCTCTGTTTCTTTATCTTTATCAATTAATAAATAAATAAGATTTTTTTAAGAGAGATTTTTGCTAAGGGCACGTGTGCTCACCAGAGAGACAGAGACAGAGAGACAGAAAGTGAGAAATCATTCCCCAAGAGGGATGGCCATACTGCAATCCCTTTTTCTCCACTATCCTCTTGGGATTTGGGGCACCCATGCACATGCGCCATGTGTGAGTGTCAAGCCACTGGGTCCAGCACTTAAACCACAGTGAGCCATGTGGGAGTCCAATGACGTTAACCATTACACCATCTGCTGGTCCCAATAAACAAGCTTTTAAAAATTTATTAGTATGGGACCAGCAGATGGCATAATGATTAGGTTGCTGAACTCCCACGTAGTCAACCATGGTTCAATTCCCGGACTTAGCAGCTTAAAACTCACGCCAGGCATGTGTGCATGTGTGCCCTAAATCTCAAGAGGAGAATGGAAGAAGGGACTATGGCATGGAATCTCCCCAGGGAGTGATTTCTTGCTTTCTGTCTCTTTCTCTGTGTCTCCGGTGAGTGCACACACCCAGTAGCAAAAAGCTCTCTGTATGTGGGAGTACAGCAATATAACCATTGTGCCATCTGCTAGTCCAATAGCTTGTTCCTTTTTTTTTTTTTTTAAGATTATGGGGCCTTTTAACATTACTTAGAGAGTTGTTTTCTAGTCTCTGGATGACTTTATGTATATTATTTACTTGGTGAATGATTCGAATGATAATGTTTCTGAAATAGCTTTTGAAAAAGTATCCTGAATTTTATGCTATTTTAAAGACTTGTTTTTTAGTTTATTTTTTCTGAGAGCATATGTGCCTGTGCATGAGAGAAAGAGAGAGAGAGAAAGAGACAGCATTACCAATAGAGACTTGATGCTGCCATCCACCCCTAACCTCCAGCAGCTTGAATCATGGATATGCACATGCCTGGTGTACTCAGGGAGGTCTTGGGATGTTTAAGGGACATTTCTTTAAACAACTGATTTAACATTCCTTACTGATTATAGTACTATTCAGCTTTTGTTTTGTCTTTTGGTGAAACATGATAGTTAATAGATTTTTTTAAGTTACTCATTTCACCTAGGTTCAAACTTGCTGGCATAAAGTTGTTTTGTAATAACCATTATTATCTTTTAAATAACAATTACCATTTAATTTTTAGTGTGGTTTTTTTTTTTTTCCAGATTTTTTTCTCTTTTTCTCTCTTGGGAAAAAAATAGCTTGCAGGAAAGTCTGCTTTGTCAATTCCAGTTTTTTCAAAGAATCAACTTTTGGTTTTATTCATCTTCTCTGTTTTAACTCCCCTCTCCCCCCCAACATTGGGTTGTTGGAAAAGTCATATACATTTTTTGCATAGAAAAACAGAAAAAATGCATTATGACTTTTCAGATAACCCAATATAAAGAAAGCAAGGAAATTATTTCCACAAAATGCAATATAATGGGGGGCGGCAATTAGAGAAGAACATAGGGGTGCCTAAAATAGTGATAAAATTCTATTTCCTGACTTTGGGTAGAATTCACAAAAGTTTTTTTCATTTTTGTACACTGAATCAAATGAGTAATTTTTCATACACTTTTGAGCACATTAAGTATTTTACAATTTTAAAAATGAGGCACAGTGGGACCAGCAGATGGCATAACGGTTACCTTGCTGGACTCTCACATAGTCAACCCCGGTTCGAGTCCCAAACCCAGTGGCTTAAAACTTACAACAGGCACATGTGCGTACATGCCCAAGAATTCCGAGAGGAGAATTGAGGAGAAAAGATTGAGGCGTGGCCATCTCCTGGGGGGAGGGTGATTTCTTGCTTTCTGTCTCTCTGTCTCTCTCACAAGTGCACGCACCCTATAGCAAAAATCTCTCTTAAAAAATAATAAGAAGGCACGGTAAAAATAATTTGAAATTTATGAAAAGAATATGCATTAATGTAAGTCAAAACTAATACTATGCTAAAAATATAATTTCTGGAACACAATAGGTGAAAGAAGAGCCAGAGAGGGTACTGGGAAGTTAATCAATCAGAGAACCTGAGTTCAGATAAAAAGCTTTGGATAAAAGGGGCGCAGACAGATGGAGAAAATGACTTTCTACTATGTGTGTTTAAAAACAGGTATAAAACAGTCGTAATATCTCTATACCTAAACAAACATTGAAAGAATGCCAGTTAAAAAGGATTCTGATCTTAATCCAATGCAGAGCTCCTCCGAGCAGTTATTCGTGACTACATTGTCACATAGCCTCTACATTTGCAAAACAGTTTGGTAACTCACCAAGGTAGTACACTGGGGTCAGCAGGTGGCATGATGGTTAGGGTGCTAGACTCCCTCCCACATGGCCGATTGCAATTTGAGTCCCGGACCCAGTGGCCTGAAACTCATGCCAGGCAGGTGTATGTGCCTGCCCAAAATCCCGAGAGGAAAATGGAGAAGGGATTTCAGTCTGATCATCCTCCTGGGAGTAAGTTCTTACTTTTTTTTCCTCTCTGTC